AAAAAAAAAAAAAAAAAAAAAAAAAAAAAAAAAAAAAAAAAAAAAGCCTCCAAGGAAAAAGGAGCAAACAACAGAACAAGCCAGGACCAGGGTTACAGAAGCTTCTGGATGATGGCAAGCCAGAAGGAAAGAGGAACAGATAGAGGTTCCCCACTTAATTATCAAATATGTTTACCTGGAATACTTCACCCCACCTCCAAATAAAGAGAGTAGCATCAGAATTGTAGCTTATGCTTGCTTTTTTAAAAACCTATTTTGAAATGTCTGTTGATATTTCTATTTGGGAACCAAAGACACTAATAAGAGCATGAAGATTAATACAGAAGATAAAATTCCTGTAATCAATTTAATGGCCCTATGCTGCACTCCTGGTCGAGCACATCTATGACTTTCTTGTTCTGGCAGAGTCCTGGGCTGACCAGAGAACTCCAGACGTGTCTCACCAGGGCTGAGTGAGCAGCAGGGAATAACCTCTTCTAGCAGTGTTTCGGAGGAGCTGGCAACACCCTTTGGAGTGCACCACAGATGCTGTTGCCGCCTTTGCCACAAGGGCGCATTGCTTGCTCAGGTTCAGCCTGGTGTCTGCCAGCAGCTCCAGGTCCATGCAAAGCCTCTTTCCAAGCGGTTTGTTCCCAGCCTCCTGCATCGGTTCCCATCAGCGGATTTCTCCAGCTTGATAAGATCTCTCTGAACACCAGCACAACCATCCAAGGTATTGACTGCTCCCATCCAATTCTGTATCAACTGCAAACTTGCAGAGGGTGCACCATCCCATCATCCAGGGCTTCAATAGAGGTGTTAACCTGCACTGTGTCCAGTATTGATCTCTGGGATGCACTACTAGTGACTGGTCTCCCACTGGACTTAATGCCATTAATCACAACTCTCTGAGCCCAGCAACTCAGCTAATTTTCAGTTTCCACTATCTAGTCAGTGCTTTATTGGTTTCTTTATGAGAATGTAATGGGAAACAGGCCCAAAAACCTCACTGAAGTCAAGATAAGCAACAACCACTGTTCTGCAGCAGCCAGTAATCTCATTGCAGAAGGCTACTAGGTTGATCAAGCATGATTTCCTCTTCACAAATCCCCTATCATCCTCCAAACACCTTTTTGTCCCTCATTTATTTGCCAGTGATTTCCAGAACGGTTTGTTCCACCAGTTTCCTAGGGATTTAGGTGAGGCTGACTGGCATGTAATTTTCCACATCCTCCTTTTTGGCCATCTTGCAGACATGAGTTAGATTTGTTGTCTTCCAGACCTCAGGAATCTCTCCTGACCACATGACCTTTCAAAGATAGTCAAGAGTTGCCCCACAATGACATTGGCAAACTCTATCAGCATTTGTGAGTGCATCCCATCAGGTCCTCTGAACTTCTGTAAGTCTTGTTTAAACGTTCCCTAACCACATCCTTCTTTACCAACAGTAAGTTTTCCTTGCTTTGGACTCCCCACTGGTCTCTTAACTCTTGCATATTTATTATTTACATTTGAGTTTAATCAGGAGCTCCTTGTTTATCCCTGGGGGCGTCCTGCCACCTTTGCCTGATTTCCTGCTTATGGGGGCTGAATCTTGAGCTTGTAGAAGGCAATCCTTGGAAATCAACCAGGTGTCCTTGGCCCCTCCTCTTCAGGATCATATCCAAAGGAAGTTTTTAAAAAGTAAGCTTTCTGATTACATGATTGATATCTGTACAAGATACATTAGCAGATTCTCTATTAAAGGAAATAACAAACACATAGACATGATTTTTTTAGAAGGAGCCAATATTGCTTTCGTTGGAAGGAGCTGCACTTCACGATTGTGTTGGATTGTATTAGAATTCTTTAGGAGCACTGACAGCATGCAGATAAAGCACTGATTGATATGTTCCCTTAGGGTTTCCAAAGGTATTTGAAAAATCCTTCCCTGCAAGCTTTTGAAAGGTATTAAGCAGCCACATTTAGGAGAGAAAATCCTGCGCTGGATACACCAAATGATAGGCACAAGGGGTAAGAAGTCAGTTCTCTCAGCTAGAGAAAGTGCCCACTGGTATTTCAGGGGATCCTGTGCTGCCCAGCATGTCCATAAATGACATGCAAAAGAGTGAGCCATAAGATAAATTTCTTGATGGTGGAGTTATTTCAGACATTAATTGCAAGGGCCAACTACAAACTGGCAGAAAAAAATTCAAGGTATATGCATATAAAGCGAAGCAAAAGGTAAAATTATCCCCATCACATAGAACCAGGGACTCTGAGCTATTAGGGTTGAGATGTTTCTTGATTAGTATTAACTCAGAGCTCAATAGCAATC